TGCTCTCTGCTCCTGAGCCCGGCTCAATGCAAAACTTCTACCAGCACTGGGCAGCCTTCCAAGAGCTGGGCGGGGGAGGGGAGGAGGGGGGAATGGGCTCCCAATCTCACCTCCTGAACCCTGCTTAATGGGGTACTTTTGTGCTCCTGTATCAGGGTTAACTCCAAAAGTCATGAACACTAGCACACACATGCTGACCTCTTACCTTACCTATTTCTCCATGGAATTTATTCTTAACACCCCAATGCCTAATATTTCTGTGGGTCTTAGCTTAAAGCTCAGGGAGGCCTTTCCTGTCTCTCACATAAGATTGATCATAAATTTCACAAGGACAGGAACTTCTTGGTTCATTTCTGATTCTCAGTGCCTAACAGAGGTCTTGGCACATAGTGCCAAAACACAGAGTAGAAATGCAATAAAAAAAATTGCTGAAGCCGAAACCGGTTTGGCTCAGTGGATAGAGCGTTGGTCTTCGGACTGAAGGGTCCCAGGTTTAATTCTGGTCAAGGGCATGTATTATACCTTGGTTGCGGGCACAACCCCAATAGGGAGTGTGAAGAGGCAGCTGATCTATGTTTCTCTCTCATCGATGTTTCTAGCTTTCTATCCTTCTCTCTTCCTCTCTGTAAAAAAACAAACAAAAAAAAAACCCTCAATAAAATATACTTAAAAAAAAATTACTGAACAAATATTGTTAATCTGGTTAACCCCTAATTGTCCTAAACCCTAGTCAATTACTGGCCCTTTTATTCATTCACTCAACAAATACTTTTTGAGTTCATACTATGCTATTGGAGATAAAAGTAAATCCTTTAAGACAGTGTTTCCCAAAGTGTGCTATGCATACCCCCCGGGGTACAGGAAGAGTTAGGTGGGGATATGCACTGCACCATGCTTAGCTGCGCCTAATTCTACGTTCTTATGCGTACGAGGGGTGCTCAGCATTACAAAAATTATAGAAGGGGTACACATATGTCAAAAGTTTGGGGAACATGCTTTAAGACATGTTTATTAAACATTAAATATATCCAAAAGCTGACAACATATGTAAAGTATAAATCAATTGCAAAGTGAACCCTCTCAAAGCCTACCACCCATCTCCAGTGGTAAATCCTATTCTATAAAATAAAACCCTAATATGCAAATTGTCCCCTCAACCATGAGTTCAACCAGGGGGCAGGGGCAGCTGGTCAACTGCTGGCAGCCCCTCCTTCTGGCCAGCCACCAGATCTGCCCCGGGCAGGCCAACCAGACCCCACTGGTGCACCAATTCGTGCAGCAGGCCTCTAGTCTTTAAAACAGATCAAGAGGGAGACAGGACAGAAACAGATGCCTGGAGGATAGAGGAGTCTTGAGCAGAAAGAAGCAATTTGGGGCAGGGTGGTACAGGGAAAGAGAAGGGTAGAGTTGGCTCAAGAGATATTTATTTACTTATTTATTTTTAAACAGATATTTGAAGGAAACCTGGATTTGATGGATTGTCACTCGCTAGTTGTGTGACCTAGCCTTTCCATGCCTCAGTTTCTGCATCTGTAAAGTAGGCTGGTACTAACTGCAGTTATTTGTATTCCTAGCACCTAGCACAAAGCTTGGTACAAGAAGATGACACACAAAAATCATGGCCCCTGTTGTCAATACTGTACTAGGTACACTTCATAAATGCTGGCAAGAGAATGAATATTCTGTCTCGCTTGGAGCTGGAACCTTCCATTTCCTTCTAGGAAGGAAACCGATCAAGGATGCTGCTAACTCTGCCCTCACTAACCCAAGCCCACACTTCCAGGAAAAGTGGCCACGCGGGCCGGGTCTGAGCCTGGGCCAGGCCCCGCCCACCAAGGCCCCGCCCACATTCCAGCGGGCCCCGCCCCCAGGCCGCGCGCGGCGTCGCCGCTGCCGCCGCCGCCTCCGCGCGCGCCCGGCCCCGCCCCCGCTGGTGACGTGCGGCCGAACGAACCGGGCGGGCTGCACCGACCCTTGTGCTTCCGCGGGCTCCGGGGTCGTGGGGCTTCGTGGCGCTGAGGGGAGGGGGGCGGGGGGCCTGTGCGGGGTTTCCGCCTGCTCCCTCACCTTCCCCGGGCGGCCTCGTGGCGGCTTCCTGCTCGGCCTGCGCTCAGCCGGAGACCGGGGACCGGGTGAGTGTTGTTGGCGGGAGCGGGATGGGACCGGCGGCAGGGAGCGCGCTCCGCTCGCGGGGCCTTGTCTGGGCGGGGGCGGCGCGGGCACGTGCGCGCCCCTCCCCCACCCCCGGGGCAGAGGGTGGGGGGCCTGGGGGTGGGGGAGGCCGCGGGGGAGTGTGGAAGCTGGGTGCTGGGTGAGAGAGGGAGCTGGGTGCTGGGAGGGTGTGTGTGTGTGTGTGTGTGTGTATGTGCGTGTGTGTGTCCGGGGTGTCTCCGGAGCGGGAACCCGGAATTCGGGTCTGTGTGTGGGAGGTTCCTTTCCTCGGGGGCCCCCGGAGCTCCCGGAGCGTTCCGGTGGGTGGGTGAGCGTGGAGGCCTGCGGTGGGGTTCAGCTTGAGCAAGTTGTGGGTTTATTTACCCACAGGAATCCTGGGCTCTCCCTCCAACCTGCCGCCGGCCCCGCCGCCGAGCAGGATGCGGGAGGGGGGGAAGAGGGAGGAGGGTGGTCGGAGGGTATTCCAGGAATGCCGCCCCGGGCCCGCGGCGGAGGGGGGTGGGGGGCCGGCGGAGGGGAGTGTGCGGCCGGCGGAGGGGGGTGGGAGGCCGCCGAGCGGGGCTGCGGCGCGGGGCTGGGGAAAGCGAGCACCGGGGAAGCGAGGTTGGCTTGTGGTGGGTTGTGGCCGCCAGGCTGCAGAAGACAATGAAGTTTTATGCCATAACATTTCCCCCCTGTTGTGAATGTGATTATGTTTAAAAAAAAAAAAAAAAAAGAAAAGAAAAGAAAGAAAGTAGAGGAGTAAAGGATCACCAAATAAACCTTACGAGTTTGATAGATGTTTGCTACTATTTTCGTCGACCCTTCTAACAGTGAGAGGTTGGCTACCTACAATTTTCTATTCCGTTTTCTAGTTATCATGTAACGTGCGTTGTAAGGAGTACTCAGGAATGTGATTTTCCCTTTCTTAATAAGCAAGTAGCAAGTATTCATCATAGAAACATTTAAAAATACAGGCAAAACGAGGGGGAAAATAGTATCCATAGTTTCCCGGTCTTACAGAGATGATCATTGAGTGTGTATTTTTGGGTGTGTGTTTTTCTTTCAAAGATAGGAGCACATGATGCCCTGATTAGGAATGCAGTTTTTATGGAAATCTTTGGAAGATTTTTAAGCAGGTCAGGATCATAATGTGACTGCTATGTGGAGACCAGTTAGGATGCTGTTTGCAGTACCTTGAACTAGGTCCACGACAGTGGGACTAGAGAAGGATAGAAAGATTTAAAAAGATATTTTGGAGCCCTGGCCCGTGTGACTCAGTTCATTGAGCATCTTCTTGTGTACCAAAGGGTCTCTGGTTCAATTCCCATTGGGGGCACACGCCTGGGTTTTGGATGATCCTTGGGGGCAGTGGGGGGTTTCGAAGGGGAGGCTGCTGATTGATGTTTCTCCCTCTAAAATAAATAAAAAACATTAACTTTTTAAAAAATGTTTTGGAAGGCCGAGACTGGTTTGTCTCAGTGGATAGAGTGTCGGGCCTGTGGACTGAAAGGTCCCGGGTTCGATTCCGGTCAAGGGCATGTACCTTGGTAGCCGGCACATCCCCGGTGTGTGTGTGTGTGTGTGTGTGTGTGTGTGTGTGTGTGCAAGAGGCAGCTGATGGATGATTCTCTGTCATCAATGTTTCTAACTCTCTATCCCTCTCTCTTCCTCTCTGTAAAAAATCAGTAAAATATATTTTAAAAAATGTTTTGGAGGAAAAATAAACAGTTGTTGGAAATGGATTGGTTAGGGAAAAGGAGGCGTCTTTGCTTTTCAGTATTTGTTTGAGCAACTATGAATGGGTGGTGCCATTTACTGGGGAGAATGGAAGAGAAATTTGAGGTGAGAAAAATCATGTTTTGTTTGGATATATTAAATCTGAGATGCGTATTAGTTTATGAAGTCAGTATATTGAGGAGGCAGTTGGCTGTACAGGTTTGGCACTCACAGAAGAGAGAGCTGGAGATAAAAATTTGGGAGGCCCTGGCAAGTATGGCTCTGTGGTTGGAGCATCTGCCAGGGACCTGAGGTTTCAGGGTTCAGTTCCAGGTCTAGGGCAAGGGTTGCAGGTTCAATCCCCACCACCCAGAGACAACCAATCAATGTTTATGACTCTCTTTCTCTTTCCCCTTTCCTCCCTCCGTCTCATCCACTCTCTCTAGAAAATCAATGAAAAAAATATTTCAGGGTGAAAAGTATATCCTGGGTGAAGAGTAACAAAATAAAACAAAAAATTGGGGGGGGGGGAGTCCTCAGTTATATAGGTGATATCAAAGTTTTGGGACTATCTGAGATCACTTAGGAAGAATGAGCTCCTGCACTCCAATACTTTGAGTGGTATTGGTAGAAGGAGAAGATTGAGCATAACAGGCCAATGAGGTCTGAGAAAAAGCAGGACACTGGTGTTATGGAAGCCAAAAGAGAGAAGTTTCTGGAAGATGGAGAATTTTTTTTATCAGTATTTCTAAGATACTTGGTAAGCTGCTCAATTGGACTTGACATCATGGAGATTATTGGGTTTTGGTCTATCCAATAATCAAGAAGTGAAAGGTGGAAACAAGATTGGAATAATTGAATGGGATGTGAGGAAGTGAAGACAGTGAGTGTGAATTAGAAAAAAGTGCCCCTTCAAGATCTTATGTGCATGTACCCAAAACTAAATTTGATAGGTGAAAAATTGATGTCCTGTTTAATTTTTCCATTTCTTGATTACTAATATGGTTGAAGGTTTTTTTCACATTTATTGACCATTTTGTGAGTTTCTGTTCCTGTCCTCTGTACTGTTGCTTTAAAAAAAAAATCATTTTCTGATTTATTGTTGAGTTCTTTCTTTTTTTTGGGGGGGGGGGGGTGGCTTCCGGTGCAAGCTGGAAGACCCGCTGGACAAATTCACAAAAATCTGTAAGCACTTAATGTTGAGTTCTTTAGGCAGTAATAATATGTAGCTGATATAGTGGAGTCATATAATTGTCTTTTTGTGGCTGGCTTATTTCACTTAGAATAATATTCTCCATGTTCACCCAGGTTGTAGAATGTGTCATAATTTCCTTTTTAAGGCTGAATAATATTCCAATGTATGTCTACATTTATTTTGTTTATCCAAGTGTCAATGAACACTTGGGATGCTTCATGTTTTGGCTGTTGTGAATAATGCTGCTAGGAAGGTGGGTGTAGATACCTGTAGTAGAAACTAGTTCAAGTTCCTGCTTTCAGTTCTTTTGGATATATACACCCAGAAGAGTGATTATTGAATTATATGGTAATTCTATTGTTAATTTTTTTGCAGAATTGCCACATTTTTTTGTTTTTTGTTAATTCTCACCCAAGGATATTTTTCCATTGATTTTTAGAGAGAGTGGGAGGGAGAAGGAGTGACAGAGAGAAACATCAATGTGAGAGAGATAAATCGATTGGTTGCCACCTGCATGTACCCCGACCAGGGCCGGAAACCTGCAACCAAGGTACAAGCCCTTGACTGAAATCTAACCTGACTTTTCAGTGACTTTTCAGTCCGAGGGCCAACACTCTGTCCACTGACCCAAACTGGCTAGGGTAGTGGTCGGCAAACTCATTAGTCAACAGAGCGTGTATTGGTTGCCTCCCACACATGCCCCATCCAGATCAGGGGATAGAGCCTGCAACCAAGGTACATGTCCTTGACCAGAATCGAACCCAGGACTCTTCTGTCCATGGTCTGACGTTCTATCCATGGAGCCAAACTGGCTAAGGCAGTGGTTGGCAAACTGCGGCAGCCACCTGCAGCTCTTGAGCTGTGGTTTGCTGCTCTGTTGACTAATGAGTTTGCCGACCACTGACCTAAGCATTTAAAAGAGGAACACTGGCTCAGTAGTTGAACTTTGACCTATGAACTAGGACAGTGGTCGGCAAACTCATTAGTCAACAGAGCTGCAAACCATGGCTCGTGCCCTGCATGTGGCTTGCGAGCTGCGGTTTGCTGACCCCTGGTTGATTCATGTATGTTGGGACGACTCCCTAACCAACCGAGCTACCCAGCCAGGGTGAAATGCAACTGATATTTGTGTGTTGACTTTGTATCCTGCTACTTTGCTGAATTTTTTCTAACAGTTTTTGTGTATATGATTTTCAGGGTCTTCTGCATATAAGATCATAATAAAAAATTTTCATATTCATTTAGTGCAACGGTCGGCAAACTCATTAGTCAACAGAGCCGCAAACCACGAGCTGCAGTTTGCCGACCACTGATTTAGTGGGTACACTATAATTTATTGGATGCACTATAATTTGCTATGGACTATTTCCAGTTTTTTAAATTATCAAACTAGAGGCCCATTGCACGGATTTGTGCACCGTTGGGGTCCCTCAGCCTGGCCTACACCCTCTCACATACCCGCGGGGATTGGGCTGGTCTGACATCCCCCAGAGGGATGTAGCAGAGAGGGAAGTGACCAGCGGCCAGGGAAGGCCTGAGTCCGGCCCTGTGGTGCCTGCCTCTGCTGCCGCTGCTTGGTAGTGCTGCCCTGGAGGCGGGAGAGACTCGTGCCACTGCAGCTGCTCTCACTAGCCATGAGCCCCGCGTCTGTCGCGAGCAGTGCTCCCACTATGGGGAGTGTTCTGACCCCCAGGAGGCAGCTCTTGGACTGAGTATCTGCCCTCTGGTGGTCAGTGTACATCATCTGCTTATAGAGTTTTATATATATAGAATACATAGGAAGAGGAGAACTAACACTTAAGCAGCCCACATCTGATGTACATCACCCTTCCCTGAGAGTATTTCCTTAGGATAGATTCACAGAAATGCTTGATCCTCCTCTCATTTGACCACAGATTTTTAAAAAAAAATATATTTTTATTGATTTTTCACAGAGAGGAAGGGAGAGGGATAGATAGCTAGAAACATCGATGAGAGAGAAAATCATCGACCAGCTGCCTCCTGCACATCCCCCACACTGGAGATGTGCCTGCAACCAATGTACATGCCCTTGACTGGAATCGAACGTGGGACCTTTCAGTCCGCAGACCGATGCTCTATCCACTGAGCCAAATGGCTTTCGGCTGACCACAGATTATTTGAATCTTCATTGCCATCTCCTTAAACTGCCCTCCCGTATTCCTCCCTCCCTTTAATCCTGGTCCCTTTTCATTCTGTTTTGTACACTGCTACCAAATGAAGAGTGAAGGTTGGTGTGCTTTTCCCTCATAGAAAACAAGACTTATGAAACAGATAGTTTCTGTATCATCGGTTCTGTGGGTGTTAGAAAAAAAAGAGTTTTCAAAGACTGGAGTGCATTTCATGGATAAGTTGAAATTTAATTTTATTCTTGAAGGATGAAGTAGCATTTTAATATTTTTTATTTTTATATATATTTAATTTATTTTTTACAGAGAGGGACAGAGTTAGAAACATCGATGAGATAGAATCATCAGTCAGCTGCCTCTTGCATACCCCCTGCTGGGATGTGTCCGCAACCAAGGTACATGCCCTTGACCGGAATCGAACCTGGGATCCTTCAGTCCGCAGGCCGATGCTCTGTCCACTGAGCTAAACCGGTTTCGGCTGAAGTAGCATTTTAGTAAGTAGAGAGAATGCAGAGGTGAAATATTACCCATTAGAAGGTAATTGTGAGATGTTCAGGCATGTGAACTTTGATGACTGCATTAGACAAGAAGAGGTAGAACTCATTCTCCTAGATAAGGATTGTTTATTCTGCTTATCTGAAGAATGAGCTAGGGTTTTAGATATTATACATTGGCGATTTTTATCCATTTTGTTTTAGAAAAAACAGTTTATTTGAGGTTGTATGTATACCCTTTTATTGAGGTATAAATCACAAGGTGTAAAATTCGTTTTTATCTTTTTTTTCTTTATTGATTAAGGTATTACATATGTGTCCTTATTCCCTCATTGCCCCCCGCCCCACCTCCTTCACTCATTCTCTCACTCGCCCCTGGTGTCTGTGTCTATTGGGTAGGCTTATATGTATGCGTACAAGTCCTTTGGTTGATCTTTCTCTCTACCCCACCCACCTACCTTCCCTCTGAGGTTTGACAGTCTGATTGATGCTTCTCTGTTTTTGTTCATCAGTTTATGTTGTTCATTAAATTCACCATTTTTAAGTGCATGAAGTATATTCTCAAGGTTGTGCAGCCATTACTATCTAATTCTGTAAGTTTTCATCTCCCCAGAAAGAAATCCCGTATCTGTTAGCAGTCATTCCCAGCTCCCCTCTGCAACCATTTTCTGTGTCTATTGACTTGCCTGTTTGTGGACATTTCATATAAATAGAATATACATAGAATAATATTTATATTGTGACTTTTTGTGTCTGCTTAATATTCTATTGTAAGAGAGAGAAAGAGAGAGAGAAAGAGAGAGGTATCGATTGGTTGCCTCCTGCATGTGCTCCGACCAGGGCCAGGAATCAAACCTGTGACCCTTTGGTGCAGGTGCCAACATTCTAACCACTGAGACACACTGGCCAGGGATAACCAGCTTTATTGAGGTACAATTTGCATATCACAAACTGTACATATATGAAATGTACAATTAGATAAGTTTCGACATCCTTATATACCTGAGAAACCATTCCCATAGTCAAGATAGTGATCATATGCATTTCCCCAGAATTTTTCTTATCCCCCTAACTGCCTCTACCTGCTTGGTTGCCCCCAACTGCCCTCCCCTGCTGGCCTGATTGGCCCTAACTGCCTCTGCCTCGGCCCCCACCACCATAGTTTTGTCCAGAAGGAAGTCAGATGTCTGAAAGATGGCCAGTCGAACTGGTCTAATTAGCATACTACCCTTTTATTGTTATAGATAGATTATATTACCGTATTTTTCGGACCATAAGACGCACCGGACCATAAGACGCACCGGACCATAAGACGCACCAGTTTTTAGAGAAGGGAAATGAAGAAAAAAAGATTCTGAAACAAATAGTGTCCTAAAATATTTTATGTGCATTAAAACCCAACATCACAGTCATAAACACATGTAATCAACCCTGTAAAGTAAACAGCAGCATTTAGAACCATTTTAGAGCCGGGCAAGCACACAGAGACCACACAGAGCCGGGCAAGTAAAAAAACTTTTTTTTTAAAGTATATGTGTAGGCTATATTTGGACCATAAGACGCAGGGACTTCCCCCCCCCCCCCCCCACTTCTGGGGGGGAAAAAGTGCGTCTTATGGTCCGAAAAATACGGTATGTAATTTCTTTACTTTTTAAATTAAAGTTTGTTTCAAAAAATGGGGATACACATCATATATACTAAAGAGCACATAAATAAGGAAGTTTGTTATAAAGAATAGTAGTAAAGCAATAAATTACTACTTAACTCCCACTCAGCTTACAAAATAGTAAATTACTAATATTTTTGAATTTACTGTATGCCCCTTACTGGGCATTTTTACTCTTTTGAATATCTGAAATATTTCATGATAAAATTAAATTTAAAAATATTAAAAATCTGTATTTCCCCCTCAACTGGTCTTCCTAATGAATACTGATTCCTCAGTTGATAGCCCTGTCAGTGCACAAATAGTGTGCATACATATACCGGGGGTAGAATAATCTGTAAATATATTTCTGTTTAAGATTAATGTGTGTTGGGTTTATCCTTGTTATTTTTTATAATTGTTTTGTTGAAACCTAATTCATACGCCATAAAATTCACTCTGGTAAAGTGTAACATTTAGTTTAGTTTTTTTTTCTTTTCTTTTTTTTATATATTTTATTGATTTTTTCAGAGAGGAAGGGGGAGAGAGAGAGAGCAAGAAACATCGATGAGAGAGAAACTTTGACCAGCTGCCTCTTGCGCACCCCCTACCGGGAATGTGCCCGCAACCAATGTACATGCCCTTGACCGGAATCAAACCTGGGACCCTTCAGTCCACAGACCAACGCTCTACCGCTGAGCCAAACCGGTTTTG